GTATGCAAGATCCCTGTAATTTATATTCTATCCTGCAATACTTAAAGCATTCAATTTTTATTTCACTGCTGTACATCCATGTCATGTTTCATTCACTTTTGTCTGAATAAATCCTCTCAGATTAAGGAGTTTGGAGCTCAGATATTTTAATACCAATGTAATGATCTTTATACGTTTTTCTAGATTGGCTAGCTGGACCTCAGTTTGTCAAGCTTGATGTGAAGGTCAAGTCCATCATACAGTGCTGTGGTTCCTCTTTTTGCCAACTCTATTGCAAAAGATTTGGAGGGGTTTGGGGATGCTGACTGGGAGATATGAAGTAGTAGCCAGCAATCTATTTTTACATTTTAAAAGTTTTTACATTTTTAAAAGGTTTCTTCCCACCAACTCTCTTCCAGATATTTTCTTTTGCTTGCTAGTTACATTAGTTTATTCATGCAGACATGAAATAATTTTATCAAATAATTTCTTCTTATCAAAACTGAGTATTTTATTTTTAAAAGTAGACACTATTTGTGGTTTTTAAATTATTGGAGTTTTCAAAAGCTTTAAAATGTGTTAGAAACCCACTAACTTAGGGGCTCTTGAAAATCCTTCCAGTTGTATTATTTGCATTTAAAGTGAAGTGAGTAATAGGTTGTAAGACCTCATGGAGAAATACAAGCATGTATTTAAGTCATTTTAATGAAAGGTGCAGAAATGTGATGCATACAAGTGCATAACTGTTTTCGTTGACTCGCTCTGAAGTTAGTTCAGGTGGCTCTGATTATCTTTTGTCTGACTTATGAAAACGCTTTCCTGGGAGGCAGAGAGAATGAAGTTGAGGATTAGAAAAATTCTGACAGGCAAAGCCTCAAGAAAACAGTAATCTCAAGAGAAGGTTTAAACTGAAATTTAAATTATTTGCGTTAACATTGTGACAACCATATGAGTGTGCTAAAAGTACACAAACACACAACCAGGGGAATTTAACCTATTTGTATGAGACTTATATTTGAGCTGCACTAGATTAAACTATAATCTTAGTCAAAGGAAATGTATGACTAAGTATCACATGATCTTTAATTCAATGTATGTATATTGAAGTTTGTATCACAGGTTTAAATGTTTGTGGCCAGCTTGAGACTGGCATTTTCATCAGTTTTTAAGAACACTCTTTTCTGTTCCTTTGCTTGCCATATATCAGTAATTATCATTGGGTATATGGGATTAATTTCAAAGCACCCCTTTAGGTAAATTTCACCTGAAAGATTGCTTTCTATAAGGAAGTGGTTTTGTAGTTCAAGTTATTTCTGTAGAGGCTAAATGTTAGTAAAACAAGGCAGTATGTTGCTTCTACACAGCCAAAAAGTTTGATGGGATACATGCATTCATGCAAAAACTGGTGTTTTGCCTTCACAAGGGGTTAGTCTTGAATTAAGAATGGGGGGTTTTATTAGCAGAAAAAACTGATGTAATAGGGAAAAAGATGGAGCTGACCCATTATGATTTGTACTTTCATACTGTACTTCATTATTCTCTTCAGTTCATCTGATATTATGCTGCATGAGTTTTTATGGCAGATCTGATTTCATTCATTCAGCTGTTTAATCATCCCTAAATGTCTGTGTATATGCATTTATCTTTTTTGGTCATTCTAGAGGATGGCTTTTTCTTTATGTTGCTGGTACCTGTAATACTCTGTTCTTCATTGTATCCAACATGTCCACTAGAAAACAGAAAAAAACAGTTCTTTATGGTATTATGTAGGTTTGATTTTTTTTCCCTTGGTATTCTTTAAATACATGCAATGTGTATATTAGGATTAAAATGAAATAAGGTATTTTATTTGTTTAAACATATAAACAAATACTTTATATGTAGATCCACATTTACAAATTTATTTCCTCTTATTATGAAATGCTATGTTTATAAACTTTATAGAAAACTTTAGATGAAAGAGAAATTTAGTTTGAGAGAAATTTTCTCTATAGCTGTCAGCAGACATCTAAAAAAAACAAATACAGGGTTTGATTTAGATTCACAGTTCATCAGGCTGTATATCCTGAAATTTCTTGAAACAATTTCCTCTATAAATATTCTTTGTTCATCATTTTCAGTGGACATCTGGAGGTTATATTCTGTATCAGGAATAACAATCCTCTAAATAAATTTCAAGTATACTAAATTAATATGTGAAATGTCTTAATGCTATTCAAGAGGAATAAAATGTGAAAGCATAGTGTTGATCAATTTTGAAACTGACTTTTTCTCCTGTTAGATTGTTAATTTGTCATGGCAGTGGATATTCTTAAAAAAATACACAGGAGAGTAGCTGTTGACTAGTCCAGATATTACTTCTGTTATTAGAGTTTTTTTCCTGATTGATAAGATGGACTCTGTTTAAAAATGTTATGGGATTTTTTCCCTATTGCAAGATCAAAGAATTGATTTGTGGCTACTTCAGCCTACAAAACAGGAAGACTGTGAATTTGTCTCTAGGCAGTATTTGTTTATATTTGTCTACTGTCTAACAAATAGTCACAGAAAATTAATACACATAATAGTTCAGCTGCTCCAAGAAAGATCTTTGGGAATGAAGGTAAGCTTGTTAAAGGAATTTCAACAATTTTCATTTCTCATCTTACATGAGAGATTTATTTCCATTACCCTGCTTTCCCTGGCTCCATAGTAAAATAAAATTGAAACAAAAAAATTTTAATTCATCATCTGCCCACTACAATGTTAAGTTTTTCATTTCAGCAAGTAGCAAATCATTCTACTTCCTGAGAAAGCAGTAGAACTGAAACATTTTATGGAAATGTTTTGCTTAGTATTTGAGAAATCACAAGCAAGCTCCAAAATGATACTAAATCATAAAACCAAATTCAATTTGTTTAATCGAGTATGTTTCCTTATTCAGAGGAGGAACCTGCTCCAAACAGTGTTATTGAAGAATACCTTCAGGAGAAGAGAAAATATGAAGACAAGCGGAAGCAGCAGCCAAAGAAAGGGGTGTCTCGTGAAGATCAGGTAATAGTTTAATAACCTGAGGAAAAAAATCTGAGAAAAAGTTACGAAAATGTTTCTCTTCATTTGTGTAAAAATAAAGTTTTGAAATCCATTATGTTTCTTTTCCCATTAAAAGAACCTTATTTGTGTAAGTGAGTATGTACTCTTTGATGCCCTATTTTGATTACCCAGGTAGACAGGTAGGTGAAATTTCAGTGTGTATATGGAAGTGCTACCAGTTTAGTCAGTAAAATCATCCAAAAGGAAATGCTACCCATATACAAGAGTTTGCATTTCTATACACTGCTTTCCTTGGTTCTGCATCTTGCCATCAGGTAACATTGGACAGAAGTTTGTATACTTGGCCTCTGTCCAGACTGGGTTTTTTAACATTTTAAATTATGTTTTAAAGAGATTAAATTCATCCATACCTATTGCTATTGTGAAATGAACAGAAATAGTTTTTAACTGTACTGTAAAGTAAAACTCTTTTAAAATATAATGAAAATTATTTTTCAGAATTAGTATGTATGTAGCCATTAGTATGCAAATATGAACAAAGTAAAGTTCTACATAAATGTTTTTTCTAAAATAGGGAAGTTTGAATCTGTTAAATATATGAAACTGCATGTGAAGGGGAAGTACCATTAACTTAAAATCTGTACAGTACATCAAACACATTGGTTTATAAGTGCATGCCAATTCAGCTACGAAGATGTTCATATTCAACTGTTGAAACTAGAAAAGATTGGAAACTTGAGGCTTAGCAACTTCAAAACAGAGGTTGGCAAACCTTTATATACATGCAGCAGGCTGATTTAGCTCTAAACTAAGGAGTTTATGGAAAGTGTACGATCAAAAGCCCCTTAACTTTGAATCAGAGAGTACTGAAACTCTGTTGGCGATGTGGATCAAGGGACTTAAAACCACTTCTGATTAATTTATGAGAGCCCTGTCCTGGACATCATAGGAAAATGAGATGAGATTACAAGGATGTATATTTTAGATGATCTTAATTTTTATTTATGTAACCCTGCTGGGAACTATTCAACAATAATTAATCAAGTTCTTTATAATGCATTTCACTTGTGTAGAGCCTCTTCTAGCCTTGCATCCCTCCTATAGCCTAATACCATTTTCCATCCTCAAGAGTTAGAGGTGTGTGTCTCCTTACAATACTAGATATTGGAAGTCCTAGCCTTATAATTCTACAGGGCAATTTATAAAGTTATTTGATTCACAGTATGGCATCTAATCACTAACTGCAAAAGTGCCTACTAAGATATTTTGAAATTATTTCTATCACTAGGTCTGTTCATAAGAATGCTGGCACAAGACACAAGGAATGTGGCTTTGGTTGGTCACAACTTCATGTAAAAAAGGGTTAGTTTGTTTTCTTTTGACGGCCTGGGCAAAGATTTGCTGTCTCAGATCTTGCAAGTATGGGGTTTGTTTGCAGTAGTATGAAAAGCTATAGAACTTCAATCATTTTCAGGTCCAGATATCTTTAAAATTTTCCTCTCCCCCATCTTAAACAGAACATTGAACAGAAAATAAGGAAAATAAATGCAAAAAGAACCTCCAAAACCTGCCTTTGGCAGAACTAAAGTATGTTTGTGAAAGAATTCAAAAGCCAGGAAACTCCTAAAGTTAAGATTGCTCCCAGAAGGAAATTTGATTCCAGTGAACACTCCTGGTATTTCCTATTTCTGTTTTCTATTCTTGTTTATATTCTTTTAAATTTGAAAAACTTGACCAAACAAAGCTAAACAGCCATACAGAGGTGTTTTACAACATAGGTGGCCAGCCTATCACCTACAGATCAAATGTAGCCTGCCATTTAAATTTAGTCAAGTGCTTATTCCCTGATGCTTTCCTTTTCAGGAATGTCTCAAATATCAGCAAGAAATAAGCTGTGGGCTGCGCAAACTACTCTTACAGTCTGCCCTTTTTATGAAGAGTCTTCTCTTCCATCACAAAGCTCAGTCACCTAATTCTTGTATAATTAAAATCTCATTCCAGGTGATCAGAAACAAGAGCTGCAGTACGATCTTCAGGTGTCACCTCTGAAGAATAAAATACCAAATATAAATCAGTATGAGCTTAATGTATGCAGCACAAGAACCTGTATATACAATTAGTTAAGCTCGTTCAATGTTTTTGAGTCAAAACCTTCAATTTTTTTCAATGTTAGTACATAATTTAAAAGGTCAGCAAAGTCGAGTATATAAATATCAAACAAACTGGGTCTTCAAAGCTTGAATGATCTGTAATTTATATAATGGATTGCTTTGTGAGAAGAAAATAGCAGGTTCAAATAGTAAAATTTGTTCTCAGCAGTGAGTGTTGTTTAGTCAGCTGTTCTATTCTGTAAGTAGCCACAAGTTTTTGTTCCTTAAATATGCATTTGGAATTCACTAGATGGCCAGACACACCTGTGGGGCACCATACACACTTCCTCTTGCTGTCTCAACATTGCTTGCCCCTTGCTTTTCTCTCGATGGGTGCTCTCAATGCACTCTTGCCCTCTCGGGTCTCCCCTGCCCCTGACTGCCTCTTTCTCTCTCACTTGTTCCATTTTTCAAAATAATAGCTTAAAGAAGTGTTATATACCTGTTCTGTGTATAAATATATATTAACTTCCCTAAAACCATGTATTTAATTTCAGACACTGGCACTGTTGGACCAGTTTAAATCAAAGTTAACCCAGGCAATTGAAGAAACTCCTGAAAATGAGGTTTCTGAACCTGAAGTAGATAATGACGAAGGATGGTGAGTCTTTTGGATATGGATTTCTGTGTTTACTGCTGGAAATCATACTGCACTAAGATAGTCTCACTGTTAAATATAAATTTAATGAATAGCAGAAACACCAAATCTGAGGACAGCTGCTACAGCAGGAGTCATCTAAAATGTACTGGTTTATCACTCTGGAAAATAACGCTGGAGAGTAGAAGACCTTTTGCTTTGCGCAGTTGTATGGCCTACTAAAAGTGTATTCAGTATGTAAGTATTTTGAAGACTGATGGATGAGATGAAGATAGACTGATAGGCTCATCTGAAGTGTAGGGTAACCCCAAAGTAGCACTGGAATTGATAAAGCACTGCAGAAGTTACGACCTCAGTGTCTCCCAGTCAAGGAAGCAACTTGTACTGTGTTGTCTCGTGTTCATCTTCCATCCAAAGAAAATCCATCCTAGGGGAGCGGATGATAATCAGTATGATTTGAAGTGTGATCCTGAAGTCCTAGACTGCAAGCTGTTAGATGGTAATAAAAGTATCTGCATAAAATGACTAGGAAAAAAGAAAAAAAAATCCTAACAAAAATGTTTTGTTAGGACAGATCATTTTCATAAGGCAGGCAATATAGCTGATCTAATAAAATGGGCTGTTTCTGCCTACAACTTTTTCCTTAATTGTGTGCATAAGTCATCACAGCTACAGCAAAACTACCACTGAAATAGAAACATTAAGAAGTTCTTGAAAGACAAGTGTTTAAGACAACCAATATTTCCGTATCTCATATAACTTAAAATTATTAAGTGAAAATGTCAGGTGTTTCCTTATAATCTTCCTAAAGGCTCCCAGTAGGATACCTGTCTTCCCAAAAATCTCCAAGCTAGCACCAGTAAGTTACTAGACAGAATTTGAATTACAATAGGAAAATAAATAAAATATATGAGAATATACATTGGACACCCTTTTTAAATAGAAAATAAATGGTGTAACTAAATGTGCTTAAAGTATCCTGCATCTGTTTTGAGAGAACTCAGACAAAATTGTAAATAAGCATGTTAATAAAGTTATTGTCAGATAAAAAGACAGGTAGCATTGGTAGGAAATGCAGACTGTCTAAATAACTTAAATATTTTTACTGTCATTCTACAAAAATATATGAATACTGACATAAGAAAAGACAGCAAAAGTAAGGTTGTGATTGAAGATAATATATGGAAAGAAAAATGTTTTTTCCATTACATTTTTTTCCATATATTGATAAATGAGATTCTCAGCTATCTGTTACACATCAAGTTACTGTAAGCTGTATTATAAAATATTTTTTTTAATATATTGAATCAGAATGTGTTAAAACTATTTGAATATACACTCCATAAAAATTAAAAAAAAAAAAAAATCATAGACCATTAAAGGGAAGATGAATTGCAAATTCTGAGATCAGTTATGTTGATGAGACTAAAATTTTAGATCGTTCTTAGACACTTTCTTTTTTGTATGATACACATAATGAATCATTGCATATATTTAAATTTAGTAAGATAAAGCTACACATGTTCTACAAGTTTACCTTCAGACCTTCTCACTCAGAAGTGAAAACTGAATCAGGCTGACACCTCACAAGGAAAATTCTAGGATTTGCAAAAAAAATTCAGACACTTACACTGGCAGAAGGAGTAACACTACTAGTATAGCACTTAGTATAGATTTCTTGCAGTTTATAAAACAGCATTTTTATATAAGTAGTGTGTAATGAGTGCATTGATTTTTTCAGTGTTTCTTTGTGGGCATTAATATAGTCTGCTTTTGTCTTAACAGATACCTAAGTGTTACAAAGTAGGCTATTAAAAATCCTGTCATGTAAAACAATAGCAACTCAGATATTTTGCTTTTTATTGTATTGATTATATTCTGTATCTAATTTTTTTTTTCAAGGAAGAACTGAGCATTTCTCATAGCTTTAGGATGTAATCAAACCATCTCTGTCTCTGTGTGTCTCATTATTTATTTATCAGACCTAAGAATGGAACATGATATTTTAAAATACAAATGCAGGTTAGGTTTCTGAAGTGTTTTCTTTCTACTTTTAATGTTAATTCCATTATCTGGAAATAAAACCTTGCTTTCTTTGCTTATGTTCTTTGGCTGTTTTAACAGATAAATCAAAACACAAACATCTTGGCTTTGGATTAATGTTTTTGACACAATAGAGAAAATAATTTCCTAAATCTTTCCCCTTTCAGGATAACTCTTGTTAATAATTACTCTTGTTTTAAAAGTTTTCTCCTGTCACTATCTGTTTGCTTTTTCAAACCACGTACTCTTCCTTCATTATGTCTTTTCCTAGCTCAGGCTCTTTGAGGATGAGGGATAACATACAGCATAAATTTTGAGATCCTTGAATTTAAGTAATATTTTGATTTCCTTCTGAGCTACCACTATGCTTCTGAGTTCTCCAAGAATTCTAGAACAGACTATTTCAGTTGGAAGTGGCTGACAGCAATCATCTAGTCCAACTGCCTGACCAATTCATGGCTGCCCGAGCATGTTAATAAGGACATTGTCCAAATGCCTCTTGAACACTGACAGACCTCCTTTATGCAGCCTTTCCATGAGTCTGAAGCACTGGTCTTCATGTCTGATATTTTCTTGTCACAGTATTATAACCAGACTTCTATGAAGTCCAGAAGTCCAATCACTATCTTTTTGAGTAACTACTGACATCTAATTGACAGTAATCCTTTTTTTCTGCAAGTAAAAGGGTTGCAATTTCAGTTAATGAACTTGTATTTTTGTTCAGAAAAATAATACTACATTCAGAATTGCACTAAAATGAAGACTTAGAAAAATATGAAACTACATAACAGACTACTAATTAACATCATGTTATTAATTTTACAGCGCAGTAGATGTGCATGGTTAACTTTACAGACAGATGAGACAGTATTTACAATAATATACTTTGAAGCTAAATAAATTGTAAAAGGTATATGTTACACGAATTGGCTATAAACACTTAGAACATTAACAAATCAGTAAAGTCTTCTAAAAGCTATTCATAATTGTTAGAATCACTTGGAAAGTTAATCTTATGGGGTCAGGGTTTACTTTTCAGTGTCTTTGTGGTGGAATATTTGAGATAACTATAATGACTTTACAGTTTTAAATTCTTTCTTAAGAATCTACTCCTCAGAAGACAATAATTCTACTTTATTTGATGTTTATTAAATATAATTAGTGTATGGCACATGCCTATATGATGTGCACAACTTGTGAGATTCCTCCAGGCCATTTTGTAGGTCATGGCTGCTGTTTTTATGGGAAGTGAAAGCTTGCCAGTATGCTTTGCTCTACTGTCCGGGTGTGTTATCTGAGGTAAAATGATTGCTTCTAAGACATTTTTATGTGTCCACATGAGTGGCCACACATTGAGGTATAATTTTCATTTTTTGTCAAGACAGAAACCATTACCAATTTGTTATGTTTTCTTTTATTTGGCAAACTTCTCTCTGCATATTTGGCTGAGCTGCTGTATTGGCATGGAGCATAGCAGACGTCTGGGCACTTTTCAGCAGCATTCTACTTTTTATGAAAAAAAAGAGAAGAAATATGACTCTATTGTAAATAGTGTGTTTGATAATTATTACCAGATTTTACTGTCTAAGAAGGCATCTGAGGAAGTGTTGTGAAGAAAGCTGAAGAGAAATGCATAATACTGTTTTAACATGAAATACCAGAATCTTTGCTGAGACATTCTATTGCAAATTCTACTGCTGTGTGAGAACAGTTATATGTATCTGTCTGCAGCAATCAAAATCCAGTTTCCCCTACAGAATTCAAAAGTATCAAAATAAACATGGTATGTACTGCCAGAAAGGATACTCATAACAATAAAAATGTCTGCAAAGAAGTAGATGGACACATTTTTACAGCATCTCAGTACCTAAGGAAGACATGCTTGATCGTAATTCTTCCAGGCACAAGCATTATTGTCCCTGTGGTTCCATATGGAGAATTATTGCTTATGCTTTTCTTTCAATGATTTGTCAGATGTCTTCAGTATATTTGGTCATTAGTTATTCATTTGTTTACAGTCCAAATAAGAAAGAGATGCATGACTTCATTCTTCTCTTTCACAAATGTTGCACAAGAGTGCAGCAGAGGTAGGTCAAGATGATCTGGCAGAACTCAGTCACTTATTCTGGGCTTAAAGTCTTACCAAAGAAGCCTTTTCCCCAGAATATAGATGAGATCCAGCACAGTGGCAGTGAGGTGTCATCTCAATATGAAAACCAAATATGTCACAGCAGAAGACCCAGCTGTAATAATTCATCTACTTGGTACTTCCCATATGGATTACTGAATAGGCCTGAATTTGAAAGTGAAAACACTGCACAGGCTACACCTTATACAAAGTACTGCTGATCCTCATCTTTAGGATTTGGACTGCTTATACATATAGTTGCATGCATGTGGCACCCAGTCTGGTTGTAGTGCCACTTCAGGGCTCAAACAGTTTCAGCTATAGTAGACCCCAAATTTCAGTCCAGAAAGTATTATGGTCACTGCAAATAACAAAACTGATGATGCAGATCTGGTGAACATGCCATAAAAGACTTTCCATAGAAGGAATCCAGGTATGGGAGAAAAAAATACAGGTGCAATCAAGTATCATCAAAGCTTGATTGCTTGAATTAATCTGTGCAAAATATCCCTCTTCAAAGAGGGTAAAAGTGATACTTAGTATGCTGAAACACCCCCCTATCAAGTATTTCTGAGAGTTTTGAGTGGTTCATCTCTCTTTCAAAGCATGAATTCTGAGACTAGATACAACACTCAGTTAAGTCTTTGTCAGTGTTGAGTGGAAAGATTACTTTGCCATTTTTTCTTTCATGCCTGGTTTTCAATCGCTTCTAAGCCACAAATCTTTTCCTACCTAACCTAGGTCTGTCCTTGTACCCATGCTGTTGATTCCCCTTATTAAAATTTAAGTCATTACACTTTTTGAATTGTATCCTGTTTTTCATACTACTCCA